GAGATTTTCGAGGACGTTTCGCTCTCTCTTTTCTCTCGAGAACGTCACGTGTTTCGGAAGAAAAGTCTAACTGTCTTGCAACATTTCCGTGAGAATGATACATTGACAAAACTGGTTTTCACGAATAGTCACGTGGGAAATTAATATTTCAAATGATCGAATCGATCGAAATTGAGTAGGTTAATTTAAAATTGCTATGATGATCAATGTCCAATTATACTAATTAAAAGTCACAGATAGTCCCGCTAAATGTTCAGATTTCTTGGTAAAATGGATCACGACAATTGAAATATTTCTATGATCTTTACAAAATAAATATTTGCATTAAATGATCTTGTAATTTCTACGTGCATTTATAGATTTCTTTCAACCAGTATCTATAGCCACAGTCATTTCTATCTATGACGTTAATGAAATTTCGAAAGATTTTATATGACACCTAATATATCTAAATATCCAAATACTTTCATAAGCAACTACAGATTAAAGCTATTGGGTATTATTCGTGAAATCGAAAGAAATATTGATTATATAATTATTTGTAACTTCTGCATACATTTGTAGGTTTGTTTCAATTCTGACCGATCACAAGCATCCATGTGAATATTTCTTTTCGTCTCGTGAATAAGAATTAAAAAATTCCAAAACACATCTAATTTATACATCTAATAAATATCGTAACCTCTGTGTACATTTATAGATTTGTTTCAATCTTAATTAGTATATAGTTGATATTCAATTTCCGAGCGTAACATGCGCGATATATTCATAAAACGTTCCTACGTGAATAGTTTCGTAAAAATTGCAAAGTCGCCCGTAAACAGGTATAAGAAAGGAATCGCATCGACACGCAACACGACTCGAATAAAGATACATTTATTTATCCTTCACTTTTGCGTCGAAGCGAGCGAAAATTTGCTTGTTTATTTTTGCTGCTTGCGTTAGCGTAACTTCGAATCGAGGGCTTCCTCGCGAAAACGAAATACCGTGTTCAATTCCGTAGTGAGTTCGACGCAACCACGTGTGAACCACACTTTCTCTCTCTCTTCGTCTCTTTTTATTGCGGATGCAGATTTGTCCGCATGCAGACCGCAGCTTTTCTCTTCGCTGTGTACGTTAGATAAAAATACTCTGAAAGAAACGTTTTGTCAGTTCTTACTCTTTTTCTTCGCTTCTTCTCGTCTTTTCGCTTTTGTTTCTTTCGTCGCTTTTTTCCCCCCTCCCTCCCCTCCCCCTTCTGTTCTCTCACCAATCTCGCCGTATTTACGAATGCGTATATCGCGTGCCTCGAGAGAATTGTCGCCAGTATTCCTAATTCGTGTAGTATTTCAACCGAGAGTAACCGAGTTCTTAATTCTACGATTTCGTGTTAATTTATTATTATTATCAATTACTAACTTTTTTTGTGACATGTAGTTTGATATTTTTTAGTTTTTATGATATAGTATCAATTTTGTGCTCTAATTGTTTTTATTATCGTTGAAATAATATCATAATATTATATTATACGTAATATTCTCTATTATGTTTATTATACATAATATTCTCTATTATTACTATTATATTTGTATATTATAATATAGTATTAATAGTATTAAAAGTAACATAATAATAATAATTATAATATATAAATATAATAGTAAGAATATATAGAATATTTATGTATAATATTATGATATTATTTTATTAAAATATATTTATATATTTATGTATTATAATATTTATCTCAAAGTACTTTCATATTTTTCAATTTTATTTTTTAAACCGGCCAACGTTTTAAAGAAATAGTCCTCCCCTGTTAAGTGGAATAAAAATGTGACTTAAAAATTTGATAACAACATTAAAAACCGTAGAGGCTCAAGTATTTATATCAAGTATACTTTCACACAGAATCACTATTTTATGTTATATATAATATCCAAATATTTGTCCCAGCTTATATTTGATGTTCGATAGTCTCGTTGTCGATGGATAAGAGTATCGAAAGATGAAAGAAAGTATTTATTGTCTTACCTGACATAATCGCGCTTGCAATAAGTTTTTCCATCTCGTACGAAACAGGTGCAATGCTCGTCCAGGAATTGTTGACACTCGGCGCATTTCAAACAGGCGGCATGCCATTCCAGATTCGGTGCAACTCGCAAGATCCATTGGTCGTGGATTCGACCGCCGCATCCCACGCAATGCGAACTCGTGCTTTCTGCAAAAAAAGAAGAAAAGAAAAAAAAACAATAATAATGATAATGACTTTCAGTTAACATATATGTGTATATATATATATTTTTTTTTTTTCAGTGTGCAATTAAATAGATTGTTGTTGGGCTCATTTCGGCTAATACAATTCGTCATCGATTGGATGAATTCGCTTCCCAATTTTCGGACGTGTTACTTAAAGATTAACTTAATTAAAGAGGGAGAGATCACGTCCTCACGAGTTCTTGCCTATTTTGAATAAATAATCTAGAGTTTACTTTCTGCAGTTGGTCGAAAAAAAGTAAATCTAGTTTTTTTTTTTTGGCGACATTTTTATGAGGACGAGTGGCATATTGGCAAAATATGTTTCCATAAATAATTCACTATGTACAAAGGTAATGTGTGCAGTAGCATTTTTTAATAACAGTTACACAATTAAAGTAAAGATGTTGATATAATAAAGTGTTCTTTAACTCTATCATGTATTTGAAGACGTGTTTTATTTTTTCAGTAAAATTTCATCGAACTGTGAATCTCACTGATCATGTGAATTATATATATATATATATATGTGTGTACATTTTGTAATATAGACTTGTAATATATTAACGCTTTATACATTAGATATTTTGTTCGTTATTAGGATGCAAGTTTTTGTACATTTATAAGAAATTTAATATATACGAAAATAAAATATATACATAACATGTAAAATTATAGAAAATATATGAAATATTTACTAGAACATTCAGTGGATGAAATAAATTTTTAGCAAATTTTTTAATACAATTCGTATAAAAATCCACAATTTATTTATCACATATTTATAAAATATACACAAATCACACAATATTCTTTTGTACTTTTTAACAATTTTTTCAGTCTTTGAATAACTGTAAAGAGTCATCTAAAAATCTTTTGGAGCAGGAGTGCATTGAAGAATGCACGATGACGTATGAATACATTGTTATAATTGAAAAACGACACTTTATAATTGGAAAAGGACAATAGTATGAATATTCAACGAGAGGACGAACACCGTTGTCAATATTTAACTGGGATTAATCTCACTAAATAATTTAGCAACAATCAAATATTTATTTAATACCGTATAATTATTATTCAATGCCGTAAAATCCTGAGAACAGTTTCATTTAATCGCGGAATTTAATATCTGCAGTGAAATTAAGTGCTTTGCGCTTAACTTCAACCTTATGCTCATTTATTTTCAATCATTAAATTACACACGTTAGATTGAAAATTTATCAATCGCACGGAAATTTAATTAATTTCCGACGAGATTATTCTACCTGCGAGAACATGTAAAGGCGTAGATTAATATTTCTTCACAGGACGTTTCGTTTCCGAGAAAATTAAGCTTTAAAATTTATTAGAACGAAACATACATCGAAGCTATTTCCTTGGAAGCCTTGAACTAAAAGATTGCATTCTACATTTTTCACTCGTTCTCGAAATTAATCGAATTAGTTGTAATCTTAATTAAACAAAAAAGTACACTTGAAGAGAAAACATGCTCGTTTTTTTCTTCAAAAATAAAGTTTTAAAAACGTTTTTTTTTCTTTTCGACTTATTTTTGTATTTAGAACCAATCTTCTATTCAGGTTTAAAATATCGAACTTTTATTAAAGTTTAAATCATGTCGTGCTTAGCATTCTATCTCCATTGGAAGGAATATAATATTTTTTTTTAATTTTGTCCTCCGTTTGTTCAAATACACAAGTTACATGCTTCTTCGTGAAACATAAAACTTATTAATGATAAATAGTAATTAATTAATGATAAACTTAATTAATGATGAACAGTTGGATTTCGAGTAATAGCAGAAGTGTTCGTCTGTGAAAAATGGTTATATACATCAATTAAACATATGATCGATGCACGTTTCATTTATACTTTAAATCCATTTATAACAAACTGTCTTTTAGATATTTACTACGTTTGTATTAGTGACAAGATCATTGCTAATAATGATGTTCAATCGATAAAGCATGAAGAGATTTCGTGTTGTCAGTCACAGGATAATTAGATCGCATTGTCGATTAAGTGTAACAGCTACTGTTTACCCTCTCCATAATTTATTATTTACTATGTTATATCTATGTAAGAAACGAAATTCGAGCGTAATCACTTTACCTTTTTTCATTTATTTCACGAGGAAATTAGATTGATGCGTCTGTATAAAATATTTCTCAAAGTTTGGTTTCACCGATCACATTAAAGAAGGGAAAGTACGCGTTCGTTTAAGATAAAAACATTGAAATTTTATTGTTAACTCCGTGCCTTATGATTTTCATTCCAAATTTCTTGGACAAATATTTGTTATTATAATTGCAGCACCATATTGAAAGGAAAATGTCGAAACATTGTATCTTTTTTTATAATTTTCAATTATTCTAATTCGAATTGCGATGCACAATATTATGAAAATATATTGATCAAGTATAGAAATACGTATGATAAGATAATTTCCTTTTTTTTAAATTGAGACCATAATTTATGGCGCGAACGTGATTCGACGTTTTGAGGCAATTGACTGGAATATTTCTGCGATTTTTTTCTTTTACACAAGTTTGAGTGTATTTAGATATTACCATTCTGAAAATTTTCTGGAGAACATTCAGCATTTTGGAGAAAATTAAAGACACTTAGCCCATTCTAGCTAGACAATTATTTAATAATTAATTAAAACAGACTGCAAGTGAATTATATATTACATAAGTATCCATAATATGATTTCAACGTGGATCTGTGAATTACCTATAATATAGATAATATTAGGTCGTTTATAATTGCAATACAGATTAATTTGAATGTGAACTTGAATTTGTCACTTGTGATGCGAATTCGTAAATTATCTGCATAATTTCAAAAAGGTGGTAAAAGTAATTTAGATAGAAAAAAATTATTTTGCCATACGTATTTCTATACTTGATTAATGTATTTTGTTATAATTCTAAGAAACAATACATGATATAATATTGCATAAATATATAATACAAGTACATAATATAAATAGTATTACTCTATATATATATATATATATATATACTATATTTTCTTCTTGTTTTTCGTCCGCTAATTTTGATGATAACTCCCATGCACTTACTTAAATCCAAACTATTTTTTCACACCTTCTTGAAACGACATAGTCATCCAAGTTAACCTCCAACAATAAGTCAGTGACCAGGTGCTGCGCTTTCAAACGATTCGAAGCGAGTCGCCATTCGTCACCATGAACGATCGCTATTGCAAATCTGTCACTTATTTGTCACACCAGTCGAATACTTTAAAAAGCGCGTCACATGGAGAACGATTGAAGTTCCATCGTCGAGTGGGCATCGTCTCGAGTGAGGCATCTAAATAGAAAACGGGCTTCCTCCACTTCCCTTTCAATTGTCGCCGTAACATTTCCATGCTGGCGTCGCGTCAATTTCAGCCGCCAATGCGGACACTCCTCCGTGAAAATTACAGTCATCGTCTATTGTTTCGGCGAGTGAGATGCGTACAAAAAGCGGGCAAGTCGAGATTTCACCGAAAGCCTATTGATAAGTTTTAACGCGCAAAAGGGGGACAAAAGAACGCGAGAGAGAAAGCCACCCCCTCACCTCCTCCTCCTCCCGCACCATTGTTTGCCAAATCTGATTTACCCTTGCAATGGATATATGGGTGCTACGATAAAAATATATTCCTCGCGAGGGAGAGATCCCGACGAATCGTTATACGGACGTCGTTTCTTTCGTTCTGGCAACGATTTTCAAAGATCGACCGATCGACATGGAATTTCGAAGATAGTCTAGATAATCTGGGTTTCATTTTTTCTTTTACATGGTATTTTTCTCACATAATTACCAGTTTTTACAATTACACGTTTGATACAATTAAAATTAATCAATTAATCCCTTGGTGGGCCGTATCTGAACAAAAAATAGTTAAAATTTCTTTGAGAAGCGTTCTCAGTCATATTTAGTCCTTAAATGGACTATCAAATTAATTAAATTAATAATTATGTACTATTTGAAGATTTATATAATTCTCTGGTATATAAATCTTCTTTATGTTTCCAATGATGCGCAGAAAATTTTATTTCCATTTTACTTGTTTGATATGAATTATAAACACAAATTCCAATTATTAAATTAAAATTGGGGATCCAGTTGAGGATTAACAAAAAAAAAAAAAAATTCTGTTATTAACTACATTTACGTAAAGTTTTAAATCTCGTTGAATTCTTCCCTTCTAAAAATAAAGTATCGTGTGATAGATTTCTTTTTATGAAGAGTTTAATTGAAGGACTACAATTAATCGATAAGTTAGAACATTATTTCGTTGTAATCCTAATGTTCGATCTGCATAAATTTTAAGGTTTAGTTTAAAAAATTATACGACATGCTGCGAAGAACTGAATCGTTGTCGTCGATTGGCACGAAACAGTAATGAAAAAAAGATAAGTTCGAACGATGATAGTGATATTATTCCGATAATGAAATTCGGATTTTCTTAAAAAAATGTTAAATTTTTTCTTCATTGACTTTCCCACCAATACAGATAATTTTATCGCGTAAAAAACGAGACCCATGATGTATTCAAAACTCGAACATTTAAATAAATCGCAACTATGTCATCTTCTCGATAAACTACCGAGACTTTTCGTAATCACCAGGGACCCTTGTGTCAATTCGACGCATTTCTCTGTTAAGCACAGGCACAGAAGTGAGGCTTCGTGACATCTCACTTTTGAATCTCATCCTCAACAATGCCAGAAACAAAATATTTGCTTCGGGATCAAATAGATCGTGGCATCCGCCGGCCGCGTCCCTGTCGGAGCATTTGCCATCCGTGGGTTAAACCTTTTCAGAGCGGCAAGAGACTCACGAAAACGAGTGAAAGACGTGCGCTATTTGAAATTTACGAGTGAGTTTCGATTACTCGCAGCTAGATGAAGGCGCAATAGATCAAATATCGAAATCTTAAAGATACGACGTTAACGAGCGTCAATGACATCGAACGAAATATCTGCATTAGGAGAATTTAGAAAAATATCGCTGTATTTTTACGGAGATAAGCTAAGATTTCATATTTCGAGTTCGCTGTATCGTGATATATCGCGAAGTGAAATTTTTTCTTCACGTTTGTCGTTGAATCCGAAAATCAAGGTCATTTCTCGCGGAAATGTACCGTTCTCGAGGTATTCGCAAGGATTTGTTATTCACAGCACGAGCATGGTCGATGATCTGCTGAAATCTCTCATATAACTAAAAATAAAAAGTAAGAGATAAACGTATGTTGTCCGGATGTATTAAATATAAAGATAGAGGAGAAATTGAATGATCTTGACACGATCCAAGTTTTCTTGACTTTCGTCGAAGATGACTTTGCTAATTGTTGTTAATAATCCAATGGAGGTTGATGCAATGCTCATGTATATACGTCACAGATTATAAGTTTATATTGGTCGAGTTTACTGCGATACTGTCGACAATTTTGTACAATTATCTTAGAGACTGTTCATTTGTGAAAAAAATGAAAAAAAAAAAAA